GGAGGCATGATACATAATAGATATCTGCAATAAATTTTCCCAGGCTGATGGGCTCTAAGAGCATTGGTTGAATTACGGAGATATTAGAAACGACAGTGAAAAAACATCAGCAGACTCCGCACTTTGTGAAAGTGACCCTTGAACTTCACTTAATGGCCTGTTTCACAGGATGTCACATTACCTCATGGAGTGGAAGGCCTGGAAGGGTTAGGGTTAGGGAGAATGAAATAAGGTCAACCATGGCGTCACATTCTGACTCTAGGCTTAAAATTTAGAGTATAAAATGATGAAACAAAATACTGTCTCCTCATACCTGAAAAGCAGAGAGAGGAAACAAGAACAGACCAAAGAAATCGGGACAAATCTTTTTAAGTTGTGGATGGGAAGGATTTAGTGATACAGCCAGCGCTGCTCTATTCACCCACAGTCCTTACGCTTTCTCTGTCCCAATAAATAAGCAGGAATAAACAAACGAAAAAGACACTTACTGGTCAAGAACAAATAATTCCTCGTGTGGCTTTTCATTGTTTCTCCTAACGTGGAAATGCGTATAGAGGGGGAAAATCCGCCAATCACATCTCCTTTCCTATGCACACTTTGTGTGGTTTTGCAAAGGTCGGTGACACGATTCAGGGACGTGCCTCCAGAGAGAGAGATGGAGAGACAGTGTTGCGTAAGAAGAAAGATAACACTCAAGGGGACACCCTGGATGTGACCCCAGGACCAAGTCTGTGTAGAGTTAGCACTTGCAGTCTCAGCCAGACAAATCCACGGATTAGGCGTTCTGTAAAGGTCTTAGGGTCGTGAACTTGGGTAAACATTTAAATCCCGTCCCACACGCTTCTGGAGATAGTACTTTATGCCCCGTAGCTGTGCATCTGAGGTCTCGTGTGCAGGTGGAAAACACAGACTGGAAAACATGTTTGATGATCAGCCTTTCAACCTCCATGGACCTCAATTTCACAAACAGCTACTGATAGCAAGCCCCAGAGGCCGCCTCCTGTCAGAGAGATTTGGTGCCCACTGCTGTCGAGGATCCCATCTGCCTGCCAAGTGGTGAGTGTACGAAAGTCAATGTGCGCATCGGGGAGATGGATCGCGCGCGTGTGCATGGCTGGGGTGAGACCGTGTGACCAGCTAGAGCGTCCTGAGTGAGTGGGTGAACGCGGGGGTGGGAGCGGCTGAGGCCGTGAGCGTGGGTGTGCACGTGTGTCCCCGAGCAGGGGAGGACCAGGAAGCTGGTGAAACTCAGGGCCCATGGACGCGGGGGACCAGCAACTGGCCTTAGAGTAAGGGGTTGCCAGGGTCACCGTCAGGGTTGTGATCGACACAGGCGGCGACAGTAGACTCAGTGTGCTCCGGCTGCGTGTCCTCTGGGACGCACTCCCTTTCACTGGCTTGGGCCTGAGCGAAGCGAGGCATCCTGCGTGGGAACCAGGTCCGTGCCTTGCTGACTGGAGCCCCGGTCCTGGTCGCAGAGCAGAACTGGGACGAGTGGTCACTGTCTAGGGCCACAGAAGTTTGGGGCACTGGGGCAGCGATATGTGACTGGCACTGCTCACGTTACCTAGGCACATGCTGAGCTTTGGGCCTAATCAGTGCTGCTCTGGTTGGCAAAGATGAAAGCCCCGGAACCTGCCGCTTTTTATTCAGTACATCCGAGACGCAAATGTAACAAATGCGTAACAGATGACTAGGACAGAGAGTTTGGTACCTGGGGAGTAGCAAATGTAACAGCTGATTCAGGGGGCGGTGGAAGGCCTAGAACGAGGAGGAACTGTGCAGACGAAAGTTTTGTTTCTCCCTGGATGACTCCAGTGGGTGCAGTCTTGTCCTGGAGCAGCACAGCATCACCGGACCATGGAAGTCCTAGCTGTGCCCGGAGGCCAAAGTGGAGCCATGTCTCGAAATGCCACAGCTGGCCTGTAGGCAGTAGAACTAGGCCTAATCAGATGATTTTCCCCCCAAAATTATATAGAGTTGTTAGCGACAGCATACATATAATATATATCCCAACAACAAAGCGTGGTTAAACTGGATAAAGGGGACTAAAGCCCACCTTTGCACCCTACCTAGCTCTCCCATGATTAACGTGTAAATTCAATACATCTCCACATTAAATTCAGAGTATGTGTAGGAGACTATGGCCAGCCAAGTCTAGAATTCACAAGGTCACACAAGAGAGCTCATCTGCAAAAATAGTCTCAGAAATATTGAAAAAAGCGAGGGTGAGAAGAGAAACAGGATCCTTCATTAACACCTCGCCCATTATCTCCACCTGCTGCCTTTTGCCCTGCTAGCGCATTCTACTGTCTGAGTCTGACGGAGAATTCTAGGTGTCCTTACAGTTACTTTTGTGTAAACCTGAGTTCTCTGACGCTCAAAATTGAAGGTAGAATTTGAGGACAAAGGGAGGCCTTGTAGGAGATGGTTTATTGGAAATCTCAAGGGAAAATAAGCTCTTGCCTTGGCGTTACAGAGACAGGCAGAGCCCGGAGACTTGTTCCAAAGGAAGCCGGTTCTCTTGCTCTGCTAATGTTTTCTGGAGTCCGGGCGAAGTCCAGGCCTGGGTCACGGCCTCAGCAGGCCTTCCTGGGAGGAAAGGCCCCGACCCCTTTCTCCTGAAGCTCTTCTCCTGGAGTTCCCCTCGCGCCTCTCTAACTGAACCAGACCTGGAAGAGGATTTAAGGGTGGGCGCCCTTCCTTCGCGGACCCTGCGGCCGGGCTGCTCCGAGCACGGCCTCACAGCGCCGAACTGAACCGCTGCGCGTCCGGGTGAGCCCAGGGGTGCGCGGTCTGTCCTGTGCCCGCTTCCATCTTTCTTATTTATGTGGCCCTGGGCCATCAAAGCCAGGACCATATGCATGCTGAGCACTGGGCTACGGTGCCGGGAACGGAGCGTCCTTAGCCACAGGTAAATCAAGGCTGTGGCAATCAAGGCTGGAAAGAGCCCTGCGAAAGCCTGGGAGGGAGCGAGGCTGCAGGGGCGGGGCCGTCCCGGGGGCGGGGCCAGCGGGCG